CCGCCATATTTGATGATGCAAATTACAGAGCATGTTTATTACTGCAGAAAATTCTATTGGATAGTGCTGGCTTACAAACAAGCGAATGACGATTTAAATAAATAAATAAATAACTACAATCACATGCAATGGTTCCCCTTGTCAGTTCCTTAAAAAGCTTTTTTAAAAAGAATTTTATTTTATTTTATTTTACTTATTATTAGTATTTTTTTTTAACTTGGTATAGCCATTAGACAGAGAGAAGGAAAGTGAGAAAGCAAGCCACCAGGTCCGGGACTCGAATCACAGCCGGTCATGTGGGAGTCCAGTGCCTTCACCACCACACCAACTACTGGCCCCTAAAAGCCTCAAAAAAGAAAAAAAAAAAAAGAAGTCTGGCCAGGGCCTGGAACTGGAAGCTTGGAAATCACACCAGGCACATGTGCATGTGTGCCCGAAATCTTGAGATGAGAATAGAGGAAAAAGGACTATGGTGTGACCATTCCCCCAGGGGCTGATTTTCTTTCTTTCTTTCTTTTTTAAAGAGAGGTTTTTGCATAGGGCATGCGTGTTTACTAGAAAGACAGAGAGAGAGACAGAAAGTGAGAACCCTCCCCTCCGAGCACAGGTCACACCACAATCCCTCCTCCTCCATTCTCCTCTCAGGATTTTGGACACACACACACACACACACACACACGCACACGCACACGTGCCCAGTGTGTTTAAGCCGCCAGATCCAGGACTCGAACCGCAGTCGACTACATGGGAGTTCAATGAGGTAACTATTATGCCATCTGTTGGTCCCCCAGGGGGTGATTTCTAACTTACTCTCTCTCTGTCTCTCTCCAGTGAGCATACACCCATGACAAAAACTTTTAAAAAGAAAAAGGAAAATAAAAAGGTCTGGCTATCTACTTATCATTCACTAAAATCACAGCAAATAGCATTCATGTGTGCATGTATCCCCAAAACAGTGGAAACTCTTTTAGGAAAAAAAATTGCAGTGTTGTTTCTTGCCAGACAAAATCAAAATCACCAGCAGTGACACAGAATTCACTATCACTAGGGGCTTGACTCAACCAGACTTGACTGCAATGATCTACCCATAGGTCTTGACCAACAAAAGGCAAACGTGGTCAAACATAGCCAAGTTTCTTTGTCAGAGACTCCCAGTTCCTGGAAATTCC